TGAGTCACCCCCCCTTATATCAGAGAAGACATTCGGCATTTGTTTTTTATGGATTGGCTAACTTCACTTAGCATAATCTGCTCTCAGGATTTTTAATATATCAAGTGACTTCTGCTTTTTCATTAACAAATATAACTTAGAAAAAGCAGTAAGTATATTAATGAAATTAAATCTTAAAAGATTCACAATATGGTATTCAGTTTAAAGCAAGGGTTAAAAGAAATAACACTCAAATTTATAGTAAGCATGTTTTACTGTATTACTAGCCTTACTTTTCTAACTATTTGTTTTTCTTCATCTCCTCTTACTATCTTTTTTTGATGCTTTAGGCCATTTCTTGGCTTCTGGTGGTCTGATCTAATCTGTTCAGGAATGCTAATTTAAAAGAAAGGTGCTGGGGAATTCTTTTATATTCTTGGTATATACACTCCAATTGCCACTGCTTTCTCTTCCTTCATCTTGTTCCTAACATATCAAAGGTTTTTAAGTCCTGATTAATGATCTCTCAGTTGTTGCACTGTCTTTTTAAAGGGAACATATATATTTTTTTTAATCTACCAAACATTTTAAACAACCAAATGAAATTGATTAGACTTTAAATAAATTTATGTAGGTTTCTTTAAAATAGTTTAGGTGGAACTTTTCTTTTTTTTCCTTTTGAGACAGAGATTACTCTGTTTTGCTCAGGAGCTCAARTGATGCTCCTGCCTCAGTAGACCAAGTAGCTGGGACTGCCGGCCTGCAGGCAAATAATATGGCTGTTTCCTTTGGTGTTTTTGTTTTTTGTTTTAATTACTGTTGCATTAAATATATAGATTAAGGTTTGGTGTGTGGCTCAGCAATAGAGTACTTGCTTACCATGCATGAGGTCCAGGGTTCAATCCCTAGAACTGCAGAAAAAGAAAAAAAAGAAAACCAAAAAAAAAAAAAAAAGTATATGTGTGTGTTGAAAGATTGGTTTTTCTTTTTTTTTCTTTCTTTTTTTTTTTTTTTTTTTTGTTACTGGGGATTGAATCCAGGGATTCTTATTTTTTTTTAATATTTATTTTTTAGTTGTAGTTTGACACAATACCTTTATTTTTATTTATTTATTTTTATGTGATGCTGAGGATCAAACTCAGGGCCTCGTACGTGCTAGGCGAGCACTCTATTGCTGAGCCATAACCCCAGCCCAAATCCAGGGATTCTTTTTCCCTGGGCTACATGTCCAGTTCTTTATTTCATTTTACTTTTTAAAATTTACAGGCACTGTGGCACATACCTCTAATTCTAGAGACTCTGGGAGGCTGAGGGAGGAGGATTAAAAGTTCCAAGGCAGCCTCAGCAATTTATCAAGATCCTGTCTCAAAAATAAATTTAAAAAAGAGGCTGGGGATGTAACTCGGTGTTAAATTGCTACTGGGTTCAGTGCCCAGTACTAAAAAAAAAATAATAATAATGTTGAGGGCTGGGATTATAGCTCAGTGGTGGAGCAGTTCCGTGGCATGTGTGAGGCACTAGGTTCAATCCTCAGCACCACATAAAAATAAATAAAATAAAGGTATTGTGTCCATTTACAAATAAAAAAAATTTAAATAAATAAAATTTTGAAAGATAGTCATKCTAAGTTGCTGAGGGTCTCTGTAAATTGCTGAGTCTTACTTCAAGCTTGTAATCCTCCTGACTCAACCTTCCAAGTAGTTAGTTTTATGTGTGTGCCATGGTACAGAGCTAGAATTGGCAATTTCTATAGTAGTCTTCTTTCTTTTCTTTCCTTGCAGTGCTAGGAATTGAACCCATGGATTTGCCTATGCTAGGTATGTGCTTAGTCACTGAGCCACACCCCCAGCTTTCTATTCAGTTTTGAGATACATAGTACATTATTATTAACTATAGTCACCATGCTGTGCAGTATATCACTATAATATAATCCTCCTGTCTAGCGGAAACCTTATATTCTTTCATTAAAAACTCTCCCTTGGGGCTGGGGATGTGGCTCAAGCAGTAGCGCGCTCGACTGGCGTGCGTGCGGCTCGGGTTCGATCCTCAGAACCACATTACAAACAAAGATGTTGTGTCCGCCGAAAACTAGAAAATAAATATTAAAAAAGTTCCCTCTCTCTCTCTCTCTCTCTCTCTCGCTCTCTGTCTTAAAAAAGTATATTAAAAAAAAAAAACCTCTCCCTTTCCCCATACCACTCCCCTTATTAAGAATTTTACATTTATTTTTAAGTCCTGGAGATTTAACTCAGGGCCTTGTGCATGCTAGGGAAATGATCTACCACTGAGCCACATCCCAGCCCTTGTTAAGTGTTTTTACATCTTATGTTCATGAAGGCTATTGGTCCTTAGTTTTCTTATAGTGCCTTTATTAGTATATTTCTGGTCTTATAAAATATAAGTTTTGAAAGTGTTTGTTCCTCTTATCTTTTCTGGAAGACTTTTTATAGACTTGATAATCTTTCTTCCTTAAATGTCTACTAGAATTCATTAGTGAAATGACTTGAGCTAAGAAAGTTTTTTGTTTTGCTTTGGTTTGGTACCAGGGATTGAGCCCAGAGGGGCTTAACCACTGAGCCCCATCCCTAGCCCTTTTTATTTTTTATTTTGAGACAGAATTTGGCTAAGTTTCTGAGGCTGGCTTTGAACTTGCAACCCTCCTGCCTTAGCCCAGGAGCCAGGCATGATGGTGTACAACTGTAATCCCAGCAGTTTAGGAGGCTGAGGCAGAAAGATCACAAGTTCAAGGCTAGCCTCCAACAATTTAGGGAGGCCCTTAGCAACTTGGTGAGACTCTGTCTCAAAATAAAAAATAAAAAGGCTCAGAGATGTGGTTCAGTGGGTAAGCCCCTAGATTAGATCTTCAGTACACCACCCCAAAAAGGACAAATTCACTGTTTTAAATTGACATGAGATGCTAAGTGAAGTTAGCCAATCCCAAAAATCCAAATGCCGAATGTTTGTGTTTTTTTTTTTTTTTTTTATATAAGGAGGCTGATTCATAGTGGGATAGGGAGCATGAGAGGAATAGACAAACTCTAGGTAGGGCAGAGGGGTTGGAGGGGAAGGGGGGGCATGAGGTTATTAATGATGGTGGAATGTGATGATCATTATTATCCAGAGTATAGGTATGAAGACGTGAATTTGTATGAATATACTATCTATACAACCAGAGTTATGAAAAATTGTGCTGTATATGTGTAATAAGAATTGTAATATACTCCACTGTCATATATAAATAAGAAATATATATAAAAAATTGATATGGAACTATTTGAGCATTCTGTTTCTTCTAGACTAAGTTTGCATTTTATAAAGAATTTATTTCATTTGGCTATGAAATATATTAACAAAAATTTGTTTATGAATATTTTTTCTTACCCTTTTAATGTTTATAGGATTTGTGGCAATGTCTCCTCTTTTGCTCCTGATGTTACTCATCAATAAATTAATGTCTCTTCTTTTATTCCTGAGTTAAATTTTTTTCCGTTTTCTCCCCCCCCCCCTCTTTTTTCTTTCTTTCATGATACTGAGGATGACCCAAGGGCACTGTACCACTGACCTATACCCAGCCCTTTTTTATTTTTATTTTTAAAAAATATTTATTTTTTAGTTTTAGGTGGACACAATATCTTTATTTTACATCTGTGTGGTGCTGAGGATCAAACCCAGTGCCTCGTGCATGCTAGGTGAGCACTCCACCACTGAGCCACAACTTCAGCCCCCTTTTTTATTTTTTAATCTGAGACAGAAGTTTACTGATTTGCCCATGCTATTTTTTAAAATATATTGTTTTAGTTGTAGATGAACAGAATACCTTTATTTTATTTATTTATATAGTGCTGAAGATCAAACCCAGTGCCTCACATGTGCTAGGAGAATGCTTTACCACTGAGCCCCAGCCTCAGCCCCAGCCCGCCCATGCTATCCTTGAACTTGAGATCCTCCTGCCTTAGCCTCCCAAGTAGCTAGAATTGTAGATGTGTGCTATGCACATGGCTTGACTTTTATTATTCTTTGTTTCATTATTCTCCATTGTTTTTCTTTGTTTCTTTCTACATTTTCAGCAATTTAACCCAGGGATGTTTACCACTGAGCCACATTCCCAGCCCATTTTTGTATATTTTATTTTCAGACAGGGTCTCACTAAGTTGCTGAGGGCCTTGCTAAATTGCTGAGGCTGGCTTTGAACTTGGAGTCCTCCTGCTGTGGCCTCTTGAGCCTCTGGGATTATAAACTTGCACCATAGCGCTTTCTTTGTTGTTGTAATCATAATTTCCTTACTTCATGCTTGGGTTTAATTGGCTCTTGTTAATTTGCTTTGCAAAACCTGTCTGCCCCAGCCTCTCTGAACTCTCACCTCAGTCTCTTGAACTCAGCAAGACTGTTGGGCTGTGTTTGAGTTTCCTTTCCATGCACTGTAGCCTGAAATTTCCTTTAAGCAGTAAACTCTGGTAATTGTAGAACTCACCTTGTTTGTTTCTCTTTCTGAGATTATAGGTCTGTACTACCAGTTGTCAAACATCTGAAGAAATAGTTGTTTTGTTTATTTTGTCCAGTTTCTTAGTTGTTTATGGTGGAAGGATAGTTCCCATGCTAGTTAATCCTTCAGGACTGAAGGATGTATGCATTTTATACTTTGCAAAATTTCTAAAATAATCTGAAGAAATAAATTCTATTCCTTTACCTTTTAACAAGTTCACCCCATCTTTTCCATATTCCCTCTTCTGGGTTTGCATTTGTGACAGAACAAAATGGTTTCATGATCTGTTGAGTTCATTCTCTTTCCAAATAAGAATAATCCTGAAGCATTGAAGAGGCTGAATTTTTTTTTTTTTAATTTTTTTTGGGCCTGTTTTCCATCACTAGATTTAGTCTTTCTCCTGTACATTGTATGCAATTCTTATTGTCATTTATAACTTAATATTTGTTAGCTATTCTTATCTTATTCACTTGGGTGATGCTTCAGTTTAAAAATATCACCACATAACCRGTGTTCAGTTGTATGAATTTTTTCCCAGGTGGTATAGCTGTATGTTGGGAAAAAAATGCAGCCTGGCTCCGCTGAAAGAAGAGCTTCGCATCCAAGGGGTAAGGCATTGTCATCATCATTCTAGTCTGTCTAATTTTTGATGGTAGTTTGGGTATAGAATCTTCCTTTACTATCCCACAGCTCTAAATGTGATAATGTGGTTCTTCTTCTACTTTTCTTTTAATTTTTTTTTGCTTGTTTTTATTTATTTATTTATTTTAAGAGAGACAGAGAGAGAGAGAGAGAGACAGAGACAGAGACAGAAAGAGAGAGAGAGAATTTTAATATTTATTTATTTTTTTAGTTATCGGCAGACACAACATCTTTGTTTGTATGTGGTGCTTAGGATCGATCCTGGGCCGCACGCTTGCCAGGCGAGCGCGCTACCGCTTGAGCCACATCCCCAGCCCTTTTGCTTGTTTTTAAAAGTCTACAATTGTAGGGCTAAAAGGGACTTTTATATATTATTAAAACAAGACCTTTTTTGAAATTATAATACAGAAAAGGTATGGGAAAACAGGGTAAGTAGAATGTCAAAGAGAGACCTGAAATTAAAAATTCTGATGTTTACCACCAACCTCATATCTGACTCTTTATAGATGTACATCTTTATAGATGTAGAAACTAAATGCTAAATAAGTTAAGGGATTTGTTCCAGATCACACAACTGGTTAATAAAGGACAACTAGAAACGGAACAGCCTTAGTTAGTCCACTGTGCTTTCTACTAGGGTGACAGCCTACCCAGTGCAGCCCATTGCTTCTTTTTTCAAAGGCATTTGGGAAAAAAGCCCCCTCCATCACTTTCCTCTAAGTGTGTGGTATTTGGCATGAGTAGATATTTGTAAAATGAAAAGGGTGAGGTGTAAGGTTAGGAGTAGAAGCCAAGTATCTATTTTATTTTTATATTTTGTAGTGCTGAGGATTGAACCCATGGCCCTGTGCTTGCCAGGCAAATGCTCTGTCACTAAGCTATATCCCACCGCCTGAAATCAAGTTTCTGATCTGTTTTCTCTTAGACATTCTGTTAGTTGTTTTCCCCACAATACTGCTTCTTGGTAAAAGTGTAAATGTTACAAATGAATTTCTTTTTTTCCCTCCTGAAATCTAATAAATTAAAGAGTGATCACATACCTGTGAATAGCTGGACTTTGGTTGACTTTCTTTRTTAGAAAAGGAAAAACAACAACAGTAACACTCAAATCAATTTACAAATGTAGAAACAATGCTAGATAAGTTAAGGGACTTGCTGGTTAATAAAGAAYAGCTCCAAAGAGCTGTTTTAAGTGTTTCTTATATTTGGTCCTTTGAGCCAGGTCTTTAAATTCTCCCTAATGTTTTATAGGAGGGGGGGGAAACTTTATTGAGATATAATTATTCAGTGATATTGGGCGGCTATGAATAATTATTTTTTGGAAGTAGTGTTTGTTAGCTAATTAAAAAGAAGGACAGATAACTGAAGTAGCAGCCAGAAACATCTGTAGAACAACTTCAGTTTGATGAGATGCTGTGTTTGTGTTTTCAGGTTCCCAAAGTTACCTTTACTGAGTTTTGTCAAGGTCGGACAATGAGATGGGCCTTAGCTTGGAGTTTTTATGATGATGTCACRGTACCAGTAAGTAGAAACTTTACTTGAACTTCTCCAAATGCCATCACATGCTTGGGTTTAGTGGGTCACAAATGAACTAAATCAGTATTGTCCCATTTCCCTTAGGTTTGCCCACAAATGCTTATGGAAAAATAGAAAGTAGATTGTAAGTAARGCACAGTCCTGGAAGGCTGGTTGGTGACCATGGAGACTTCCTCTGTGGGTTTGTGTGACACAGAAATTCTTGTTCAGCAAACACAAACACATCTTTTAGGAATTAGAAACATAGGTAATATAGCCTGTGGGAACACTTCATGAGTGCAGTGATTCTGGTTGACATTGCTCTGGAATTGAAATTCAGTTGAAGTCTTTTTTCATTCACTTCTGTGTTCCTAGGGTAGCTGCCTTCTGGGGCTCCTAGTGAATTTAGAAGTTTCCTTTTTGAAGCTGGGCATGGTGGCACATACTGTAACTCCAGCCTCTTTGGAGGCAAAGCAAGAAGATTGAAAGTTCAATGGCAGCCTCGGCAGGCTAGCAAGACTTTCAACAMCTTAGCAAGACCCTGTCTCAAAAAATGAAATTTGAATGGGGTGGCATACTCTTGGAAATCCAGCTACTTGGGAGACTGAGGCAGGAGGCTCACAAGTTTGAGGCCAGCCTAGGTCAACTCCAAGAAACCCTATCTCAAAATAAAAAGAGTGATACTTACCTGGCAAGAGAGATACCATGATCACAAAGGTGGTTTTCCTAGGGCGAGGCTTATCATTGAACTCTGGATGTGCTGACCCCTGCAATTTCTCCAAATGTGGGAAACTCATAATTTGCATAATTTGTGGTAGTGGGGAACTGCGTTCGCTCTTTCCCCTGGCATTTACAGAAGCTGCAGTCTTTAGCTAGTCTTCTCTTTTGTTCCGGCGTTTTGGATGTCTTGTCTTTGTTTTTCCTTTTTTCAACTTTTTTTTTTTTTTACACTCTTGCTCTCTCTCGGGTATAGTTTTCTAGGTCTAGTTTTCTAGGCTTACAGCCTTAATGAAAGGAGGGTCCCGCAGGGGGCGCATTTTCGCCCTGTGCCAGAACACTCCCCAGGCTCAGAATGAGAAGAAGCTGTGTTAGACCTTAGATCCAGAAGGACCTGCAGTTGCTCCTGGCCTACCTGCCGGGCCCTGCCCTTCCCGGGTTTGGGTGGTAATGTGCTCGCCTGGCATGCGCCGGGCACTGGGTTCGATCCTCAGCACCACATAAAATAAAGATGTTGTGTTCACCGAAAACTGAAAAATAAATATTAAAAATTGTAAAAAAAAWWAAAWWAAAWAAAAAAATAAAAAGAGCTTGGCATATGTATCTCAATGGTAGAGCACCCCTGGGTTCAATCTCCTTTACCCCCAACAAAGAAGTTGTTTTGATTTTAGCTTTCACCTCCATAGTTCCTGTGCTGGGAATTGAACCCAGAGCCTGGCACATGCTATGCAAACATTCTACCACTGAGCCACACTTCCAGCCTTCGTAGATTTAGCATTTTCATGTAAAACACTTAAGATCAGTCTAGTGAGTGATTATTCTGTCTTGTCTTTAAAATTAGCCCTAGAATATTAACTAGTCTTGAAGGTGAGTGATAAGTCATGATTCTATTTTCTCTACTTTGTATGCTTCTCTACTTTGTATGCATGTGCTCCTTTTTCCCACAGTGCTTGTGGAAGCCTGGTACCTGCTCCTGCAGGTCTCCTCCCCAGTCCGTGCAGCAGACTGGATAAGAAATTTGTGTCAGTGGTTTGTTTACAAATGTTTCTGACTTCTGTACTGTTATACGTAAAGTAAAAAACACATCTGAGCTGGCCAGACCAAGTGGATTTTTTGCATTGTTAATTGTGTTTAGCCAGCTTATTGTTGCTGTGACCACAATACCTGATGCAAAAAATTCAAACGAGAAAAGATTTATTTTGGCTCATGGTTTCAGAGGTTCATTCTATGGTTGACTGGCTCTATTGCTGTGGGCCTGAGGTGAGGCAGTGCTACATTGTGGAAGGGCGTGGCAGTAGAAAGCTGCTTAGCTCCTGGCAGCCAGGAAGGGGGGTGGGTAGAGATAAGGTATAGTTCCAAAGGGTACTCCTCCTTCAACCAGGTCCCATCTCCTACAGTTCCTAATAAAGGATTACTAATCTACGGATGAAGTCAGATCATCACATTGATGAAGTCAGATTCTCTAATCAGTTTTTTTTTTTCCAAATTTTTTAATTGGTGCATTATAGCTGTACATCTGATTACTTTCCAAAAGCCACACTTCTGAACATTGCTGCATTGGGGATTAGGCCCTTAGCACATGAGACTTTTGGGGATCATTTCATATTCAAACCATAACAGTGTTGGAACAGCATCTCTTTGTTCTCACACTTCCCTCCCAGAATGGTTGATTTCTTGTTGCCTGGGGCTGCCTGCCTTAAGTTCATACATGGCTGCTCAGCATGTGCTACTTCTTCCTGCAGTGTTTGTGGAAGCATAGTACCTGCTCCTGTAGGTCTCCTCCCCAGTCTGTGCAGCAGGCTTGTTCTGGGGGTTCCTCTCCCATAGTCGTGGCCACTCTTGGTCTCTAAAGTCATCTTAGTTGATGTTGTGTCTGATTCTCTCCCTGCTCTTGTAGGGCAGATACATGGAAGTAGAGACACATCGAAGCACTAGGGGACAGTTTGCTGATGCCACTTTATTTCTGAGAACATGAGCTCAGATATAAGACTTGAGAATGTCCTTTCTCCACCCTGCAGCTAGTTGTGCTGCTGGATTGAAATATGCTTCACAGTTTGGCCTTTCCTGTGGAGGTCAGACTCAATTCTAAAACAGTACAGAAGTGTACTTAGAGGTGAGGTTAGTGTGTCAAAAATCACTGGTTAAAAGATATCTCTGTTTTTTTCACCTCCCTGAAGGATTATCCTTTCTTTTGTCTTCTCGAATACCAGCACTTGTACACCAGATGGTTAAAATCATTAGTAATGCCCTAACTTACTCTGTGCAGACATGAACAGCTGCAGGAAAGTGGAGCAGCACCTGGCTCCAATGTTTTCTGCTTAGTCTGCTTCCCACATGTGTTGGCACTACAGCTAAAAGAACTGATAATGTCCTCTGGCACTTTCCATGCCAGCTCGTAGACCAGTTGCTCTTGTCCTCTTGGATTAGCAATCATGGTAGATCCAAGTGTCAAAGGATACTGTGTTTCTGTGTAAGCAAAATTGGCTTATTTTGAAAAGGAACCCTTGAGCCTCCCTCCCTCTCTTTTACGGCCTCCTATATCCTTGTTCACAATTTTCAACTTTCAAAGATTGACTCTAAGGGGCTGGGGATGTGGCTCAAGCGGTATCGTGCTCGCCTAGCATGCGTGCATCCYGGGTTCGATCCTCAGCACCACATACAGACAAAGATGTTATGTGCACCAAATACTAAAAAATAAATATTAAAAATTCTCTCCCTCTCTCTCACTCTTTAAAAAAAAAAAAAAAAAAAAAAGATTGACTCTAAGACCTTCAGATTTCTCCCATGCTAGAGTATTCTTCCCTCCTCACCACTGCCACCACTGTTAATAATGCATTCTCAAGTGTTCCATTAGATGCACTTAAACTGCTGGGAGAAAGTGGCAGTTTCTGATTTGTAGTAACCCAGCAACCGTTTCTTAGCACTGGTGCTCTTGATCAGCAACTGCCTCCCCTGAGGTTAGTTCCAGGTTACTCAGGATATTTTGATTTAGCCTTCCTCTTGGTTCCTCTTCACTCTACCTAGACCTTTACCCATTCCCTGCTTTTTTTGAAGTGTTCACTGGATGGGAAAGGGGGAGGATGCTGTTTTAGACACATGGAGAGGAAACCAAGGAATAGAGCTAGTTAAGCAGAAATATTGACCTACTTCCCTACCCCCACCCCGCCATTTTAGGGTAAATGTGCAAGTTACTATGGCAACTTCTGTTTTCACTTATCTTAGGCCTACTGACTTGTTTCTGTTGGTGCTAAATGCCGAAACATTCTAATTCACTGGTGATTTAAGTGCCTACACTAAACCCATTGCTGTTGTCTGGATTTATTTTAGCAACAAAAAAGACAGATCCCAGTGATAGAATTTTTGTACCATCATTTCCCCAAAAAAGAAAAATGGCTGGGTATGTAGCTCAGTGGTAGAGTGGCTCTGATTCAGTCCCCACACCTCAAAACAACAACAACAAAACCTGTAACTATAAAGTAAAATAGATGCTAGTATTCCTACCTTATAGATGAGTGTACTGGAGGCACTGGAGAGGTTGGAGCCTCAATTAGACTGATTTCCCAACTCAAGCCATTAGTTCTTTTTCTTTCTTTGTTTTCTTTTTATTAGTTGTCAATGGACTTTTGTTTAATTAATTAATTGATTTGTATGTGATGCTGAGAATGGAGCTCAGTGCCTCACACATGCTAGGTGAGCATTCTACCACTAAGACAACCTCAGGTGCTGGGGTGGTGGCTCAGTGGTAGAGCGCTTGCCTTGCACGTGCAAGACCCTGGGTTYGATCCTCAGCACCACATAAAAATAAATGAATAAAATAAAGGTATTGTGTCCAACTACAACTAAAAAAATAAATATTAAAAAAAAAGGTACAACCTCAGCCTGAAGCCATAGTTATTTCTGATGGTCTGCTCCTCAAGTTACTGACTTTATTCCAGCCTACCCATAATAACCTACTCTTGCAGGACTTCAACCTCTTGTATAGGAACCATCTCAGTAGCCTTTGAAGAGTCTCTTGGATTCATCCTAAGTTTGCCATTCTGCTCAAAAAATGTTGAGGTGGCGCATGCCTRTAATGCCAGTGGCTCAGGAGGCTGAGGCAGGAGGATCATGAGTTCAAAACCAGCCTCAGCAATGGTGAGGTGCTAAGCAACTCAGTGAGACCCCTGAATCTCTACATAAAATACAAAATAGGGCTGAAGATGTGGTTCAGTAGTCGAATACCCTTGAGTTCAATCCCTGGTTCCAAAAACAAAACAAAATAAACCTCTTGATTGAGGGCTGGGGATATAGCTCACTTAGTAGAGTGCTTGTCTCACATGCACAAGTCCCTGGGTTCAATCCCCAGCACCACACACATACAAAATCTGTTGAGTGACTGGCCACTTGCTTTCAGTGGGGTGAAGTACAGCTCCTTACTTGGCTTCATGAGTTTCCCAGATCCATCCTGCCCTTTCCCTTTCATTCTAGGCACTTCCTGTTTTCCTGACTGTAGTGTCTTCTATCATCTTAACCTCCACAGACTTCTCATGCTGACAGAATTAGATATGACTTTGTACTACCTTTACTTGCAACCTGTTCTCTGTCTGGTCCTTCCCTCCTTTGCATCTCAGGTCAGTTCCAACTTCTTCTTAAAGTTTTTTTTTTAACCATTCAGCCCATAGACATTTTTCCCTTCTGGACTTTTGTCTTTCTTTGAGTCATCTATACTCTGCACAAGCTTCCCTTGTGTTAGTATTTTGTTTAACTCTGGCATAAGGGATAACAAAATCTATTGCAGGGCATGAGGGAAAGGCCTTTTGTGAGATGGTGCCTATTTTAGCTTTGTTTAAATAGATTCTTAACTTCTTTAAGCTTCAGATTCCTCATCTGCAAAATGGGAAATGATAATGTACCTACTATATAGGGTTATTTTGAGGACCAAATGTACTTAACACAGTGCCTGGGTATAGTGAGTGTTCAAGAAAATATATTATTATTTCCTTCGATTCACCCCTGTCTACATTTTATGATCTAGTAATGTTGAGCTACTGCTCTCAGATCCAGTGTTCAGATATTCCTCCTACAGCCATTAGACTTCTCATATATCAAGTCTTGGTTTATATGCCACCTTTTGTGTMGCTCACCATGGT